GCGGCAACACAAGTGAGTGGCAGCTGGAGGAGGTCACCAGTTTAGGGACAAAGGGGACCTGGGAGCGTGCTGAGGGGCCGCAGGTACCTACCCTTACTGCAGCAGCACCACCTGTAGGCTCATAACTACCCTGGCCCGTATGCCAGGGGGAGGCGGAGCGCCACAGCCAGGGTGTGAAGCAAGAGGAAAACTGCCCTGACCAACTGCTCCGGCTGCCCATGCAGCGCAGTGCACGGGTGGCTGGGTATGGAAGTGTACGGTGAGGTGCGCGGAGATGTGTGAAGTGCACTATTTAAATCCGTGTACAGACAGAACGTGCCATTTACATTCTGCCTCTTTTCAATGTTGTTTTCTGCCAAGAGAGTGCAGCCAAATATGTTGCACTGAAGAGAAACCACCGCGTGTGAGGTGACAAGTGTGAGATGCCTGTGTCCCTGCCCCCTCCCTGCCCCATGAAGCCTGCTGAGGGCAGGGCCTGGCCTGGCACACACTGGGTGCCCAGAGGGCCGGCACAGGCCCCGGCAGGGAAGATGGGGAAGGGAGGTGTCAGGGAGAAGTCTGCATAATTTAGGAATCTGAGAAGAGAAGAACAAGGAGCAGACAGATGGGAGACTGGAGGCAGGAGGAGGCTGCTGGGTGGGGTGAGGGGGTAAGGAGCTGAGAGGCAGAGAACTGGGAGACTGGCAGATACTACTTAGCATTTTTCAAAGTTGGAAGTGACATAACTGTGCGAGTGTTGCTTAAAGTGTCCTCCTCACTGGACCGGGGGTGGGGTGGGGGGGTGGAGTGGGGTGGTTCTGGTGTCTGGACTGGCCCAGTGTTATTACGCCAAAATCTGCGAGGTGAGTGGGGTGCAGTAAGGCCAGGGGGACGTGGCACCTCTCGCCCCTTGTCCCTCTTCTACCTCACAGATCTGCTGCCCAGGGGGACTCAGGTTGCCGCACTCCTGGATATTCCAGGGGAACCTCACCTCATGGTTGGGGTGGTCCTGGGGGTCGGGGGCCCCCTCTCCAGGCTCAGGTGGCTGTGGACAGGACTGTGTGCCGGGGGGATGTCCGGGCTCAGGGCTGGGTCGTTCAGAGAGAAAAGCGAGACGGCTCTTTGCACTGCCAGGGAGAGAGAGAGGAGAAGGCTGACTTCTCAGGGGGCGGGTTGGGGGCTCTCTGCTTCTCCCCTGCAAACCTCCCGCCCAAACCTCTGTGACACTGTCATTCACATTTTCAGTAGATTACATGGGCACTTAAGATTCTGTTGCCAAAAAACCCAACCAAATAGACAAGCAGAACAAGAACGCAAACAATAAAATCCCCTTCTGATCGAGATCAAGCCTATAAATTCAGTTACCAAGTGGGGAGCCAAAACTTGCCACCCTAAAATACACTTCTTTGGCACATTTTGAGAAAACTATTCGAGGGTCTGCAAGAATTAACTTGCTAATCTTTTGTGAAAGGAAAATTTACATCGATTTACATCAGTGGGGTAGCAGATGTACAAGGCTTTCCTGATGCTACCTTTGTGAAACATGAAGATCCAGAGGTCCAGGAAGGTGGTATTCTTTCCTCCTCCTCCCTCTTTTTTAGCTTAACCCCAAACTTCCTGGCCATACTGCAATCCCCCTCCTCCAACTCTATTCTAGCAGGATCTTAAGCATATTTTTCAAGGCACCAGGCCAGTCCTTGAGCCAGGCTGACCATGTGGGATCTGGCCTTCCTCTGAGATGCACTTCATTGCTGTCCTCCAGGGCTGACCCTCCCTTACTTTAAAACACATTTTTTTGCTATAGGGCATATGTACTCACCAGACAGAGGAGAGAAAGTGAGAAATCATCCCACAGGGAGCATGGCCACACAGCAATCCCTTCTCCTCTATTCTCCTCTCAGGATTTTGGGCATGTACACACATGTGCTTGATGTGTTTTTCAAGCTTCCAGATTGGGGAGTTGAACCACGTGATTGGACATGTCGGATCCAGCACCTTTACCACCATGCCACCTGCTGGCTCACCTCCTTTACTGTGTTTAAGAATTATTTTATTTGGGAACCAGCGGTTAGCATAATGGCTATGTCGCTAGACTCCCATGTAGTTGACCAGGGTTTGAGTCTTGGACCTGGTGGCTTAAACTCACACCGGGTGCATGTGCGTGCATGCCCAAAATCCTGAGAGGAGAATAGAGGAGAAGGGATTGTGGCATGGCCATCCCCCCCTGGTGGATTTCTCGATTTCTGTCTCGCTGTGTCTTTCTAGTGAGCGCATGTGCTCTATAGCAAAAAGAAAGAAAAAAAAAAACTCATTTAACTTTATTTATTTATTTATTTTAGGGCCAGTCTGAATGAGAGAGAAAGTGAGAAAGGAAGTTGCCAGGTCCGAGACTTGAACTGTGGTCAGCCATGTGGGAGTCCAGCACCCTTAAACCACCATGCCACCTGCCAGTCCCATCTCCTTTACTTTTAAAAATAGCTAACTGGGGGCCAGTATGGCGTGATGGTTAAGGTGCTGGACTCCTATATGGCCGACTGTGGTTCGAGTCCTGGACCTGGTGGCTTGCTTTCTCATTTTCTCTATCTCTGGCTGAACACACATGTCTTGTAGGAAATCAGGAAATAATGATGGGGACCAGCAGGTAGCGTGGTGGTGAAGGCTCTGGACACTCCCACATGCTGACAATGGTTGGAGTCCAACCACATGGCTGACTGAGGGGTTTGAGTCCCAGACCCGGTGACTTGAGAAACGCTAGGTACTTATGTATGGTGTCCAGATACTTATGTATGGATGTCCAAAAAGTTTTTTTATTTTTGAGAGGTTTTTGCTATAGGGTACGTGCGCTCGCCAGAAAGAGAGACAGAAAGCGAGAAATCACCCCCCAGGGGGGATGGCCACGCCGCAATCCCTTCTCCTCCATTATCCTCTCGGGATCTTGGGCACGCACACACATGCGCCCGGCGTGAGTTTTAAGCCACCAGGTCCGGGACGCGAACAGCGGTCGACTACATAGGAGTCCAGTGATATAGCCATTACGCTAACTACTGGTCCCTGGATGTCCAAAATTTCAAGAGAATGGAAGAAACAGGATTTTGTGTGGCCATCCCCGGGGCGGGGGGCGGGGTTGCTTTCTCACTCCCCCTGCCCCCTGTATGCGCCCTTTGGCAAAAACCAAACAAACCAGAACTCAACTAGACTTGACCCCAGACTTCATCCATTTTCCACCATGTTCCTTTCCTGTCACAAGATCTAATCAGGACCCCACACCACATGGAGTAGCCATATCTCCTCATTCTTGGGCTCTGGTCTGTGACAGTTTCTGCTTTTCCCTTGCATTTTATGGCTTTAAAACTTCCGAGGTGTACTGATCAGGCTTGGTAGAATGTCCCTCAGCAGGTTGTCTGATGTTTTCACAGATTTGGGGAAGAATCCCAGAGAAGTGATGTGTCCTTCTTAGGGCACCATACCAGGGTCTGTGACGTCAAGATGTATTATTAATATTACTGCTGGTGAGAACCGTGCTCCCTTGATTCAGGTGCTGCCTGCCAGGCTTCTCTCTTGTAAAGTTATTGTTCTCCTTCCTTCCCTCCTTCCTTCCTTTTTTTCCTTTTGACAGACTCTCGCTGTTGACTCCTCCTGCCTTAGCTTCCCAGTGAAGACCACAGGCATTACCCATGACTCTTTTTCATAGTAAGCTGCCCAGGCTAGCCTCAAGCTCCCCAGCCTCCCGCATCAGTCTCTCAGAGCTGTCGGGATTACAGGTGCACGTCACTGCCTTTAGGTTGGATTGGGAACAGAACCCAAGTCTCCCAGTGCTTCCCGCCTGCAAAGTACAGCATCTTAGCAGTGCAGGCCACTGAGGCTGGGCCTACTGTTCCCTTTAGAGGTTAGAAGTAGGTCACTGAGTCTAGCCTACCTTCAAGAACAGGGTAATTAAGTTCCTTCTTCCAGAGAGACAAGCATGCAAGAATCTGTGAGCTACCAAAATAAATCACAAATACTTTGCAGTAGGGACCAGCAGTTAGTGAAATGGCAATGTCACTGGACTCCCATGGAGTCGACCGTGGTTCGAGTCCTGGACCCGATGGCTTAAACTCATGCTGGGTGCATGTGCGTGCATGCCCAAGATCCCAAGAGGAGAATGGAGGAGAAGGAACTGCAGCGTGGCCATCCCCCCGGGGGGTGATTTCTCGCTGTCTCTCTGTCTTTCTGGGGAGTGCACGTCCCCTATAGCAAAAACCTCTCCAAAAAAAGAAAAAAAAAATACATTGCAGTAGAAACTTTGAGACTATATATTAGGTTGTCAGGAAATTTATGATATATTTTCCTATGCAAAAATGTGTCGTGACTTTCCCGACGACCCAAGAAATACCGTCTTTCTTCTTTTTTTAAATAAATAAAATTTTTTTTGCCATAGGGTATGTGTGCTTACTGGAGAAAGACGGGGGAGGGGGAGGGAGGAGAGGGAAAGTGAGAAATCACCCCAGAGGAGGGGGTATGGTCGCGCCACAATTCCCTCTCCTTTATTCTCCTCTTGGGATTCTGGGCATGTGTGTGCACATGCCCCGCATGATTTTTAAGTTCCTGGGTCTAGGAGCCATGTAGGATTCAATCATTTTAACCTTTATGCCACCTGCTGGCCCTCTTTTTAAAATTGTGCCATAGAGCACATGCACTTGTTAGAGAGACAAAGAGAGAGAGAGGAAAGAAAATAAATCCCTCCTATGGAGTGTGGTCACACCAGAATCCCTTTTCTTCCATTTCTCCATCCTGCTGGGATTTGGGGCCCATATATACACATGTACTTGATAAGTTTTTAAGTCACTGGGGCCAGGATTTGAACTGTGGTTGGCCTTGTGGGATCTGGCTCCCTCAACCACTAGTCCATGGGGCCGGCCCTATACACTGTTCTTTGTGAGTGACCCAGTCCGTGGTATAGCAACAGAAATGGACTGGAACAGCACTCACCTTCGTACGCCTTGGCTGCGTTTACCAGGCTGGACCACTCCAGGCCTGCGGCCGTGTCAGGCAGTGGCATCATCCCAGGGTCGAGGCGCCGCAGTGGCCGGTCCCGCCCGTCAGCCAGGGAGAGCTCTGAGGCAGAGATGGCAGCTGGACAGGGAGGAGGAGACAGAAAATGGCTGAGCAGGAACATGTGGATAAACAAACACATACATCATACTGCTCCCTAGAAAACAGCGATAAGGGCCAGGGAAAAGCTCTGGCAGGGTAAGGGGATGAGAGTATGGACAGCCGTGTGGGTGTGGCTCTGAGAAAGCTCTAAAGTGGGGAGGGGGCGAGCCAGGGGGATACCCAGAGGGCATTCAGGGCAGACAGGGCCCAAGCATGAAATCACAGCTGCAAAACCCCATTTCTACCTGCCTGTAAGTGCAGGGAACACCCAGAAGGCCGTGTGGCTGGGAGAGTGAGAGGGAGTGGGGAAGTCAGGGAGGTGGAGAATCAGAAAGTGTGTGGCCTGGTGGGTCCTGACAGGAACTCTTGTCCTTTCACCCTCAGCGTGGAGGTGCTGTGGGGAGTTTCCCGTCTCGGGTGTTCATAGCCTCCCCGTGGCTGTGTGTGGTGAGGTAGTGGGGGAGCAGGAGGGCAGTGAGAAGGCTGTGAAGTTGGACAGGAACAGGGTAGGGTCGTGGTGGGCCAAGTGGAAGATCCTGTACTGTTTAGTAGGTGGAGCCAATGGCACTTCCTGAAGAACGGGGTGGGTGTGAGACAAAGAGAATGGTCCAGGGGATGTCGAGATGCTGAGCCTAGGCCTGGCTGGGGGGAGCTGGCACTGAGGAGGGAAGGGCTGGGGGTGGCGGGGACCAGACGTTTGCTCCTGAGGTGTTATGTGGAGATGCCGCCCTCTGTCTCCCACCAGGAGACAAGAGGGCGGGTGTTGCCATGGGAGCCTGGAGCAGAGGAGGGTAGATACAAACTCAGTTGTCAGTGTCTGGACAGCCTTTAGCCCTGGCAGGTCACCACAGGGGGACGTGGTGGGTTCACGTATGACATGTTGGGCAGAGAAAGAGGCCCCCAAGGTCTTGGGATCTGGGAGTGACATACAATATGGACACCGTGCCAGCTGCCAGCACTTGCATGTGCTGCAGCCACTCAAGAGTCCCACATGCCAGGCCTGGGCCCTGGGCTCGGGCTCCTCACAGCCTCTAGTGTGAGGGATGGTGAGGCACAGAGAGGTCAGGAGACCTGAGGTGACAGGGCTGGAAATAAGAGCCGACAGCGAAGTGAGCCTGCTCCGTGCCCCCTGGGCACATCGTCTGTGCCAGGTGCCCCCTGGCACACTCAGGGTTATCTCAGTGCATCGCTATCAGCAAGGGACAGGTGTTGTGATGGTCCCCATGCATGAGAAGGGAAGTCAAGGCTTAGAGTGAGACGCTGCCTTGTCTGGGCTCACCTGGTCAGTGAGAGCTCAGGGATTTGAATGGGTGGTCGGGCACCAGGCTCAACTTCTCATGGCTTAGGGGTTTAGAACCCCTGCTCTCTTGTTCAGAGGTGCAAATATGACTGGTGACAAACTAAAAGACTCGCTCCAGAGGCCAGAATACTAACACGAAAGAGAATGAACAGCTAGCAGAGTTTGTTGAAGTCTATTAACCCAGCGAGGTGGGCACTGCTTTGGGCAGAGAGGTACAGGGGAGTTCTGTGTGTGAGTGGAGGGCCGTCTGGCTCTTAGATGCATTTGACGAGTGGGCGAGTGAATGAGCCCTTGTCCTCAGGCGATGCCTTTGACCCTGGCCCCTGCCCTCAACCCCTCTGCAGCTCCGGCCTGCTGCATCTTGCTGCTGAGCTGAGGGGAGAAGTTGCCACTGCCCAGTGAGTAACTTGGGGTGGCCTGGTGGAGAAGCCCTTGGCCTGGGGGGCTTAGTGAAGCCCAGGAGAGAGGGAGAACTAAGGCCCTGCCATGCTGAGCCCAGACAGAACTCTCCCCGATTTTGGGGTGGGCAAGGGGTGTCATATGGGCGAAGGGGTGTATAGCGTACTGCATGAGGCAGAGGGCCCTGAATGATGTCCCTGCCCTGTCCAAGACAACCCAGGCCCTGTCTTCAGGAGCCCCGGTGCAGTGGAGGAGACAGACCCTCTCATATAGTGATAGCCAGTCAATGCGGCTGCGGTCGGGGACGATAGAATGGGAGAAACCCAGGGGCTCTGAGGGCTGCAGGAGGTGCCTGACTCAGCCTGGTGGGGAGGGAAGGCTTCCTGGAGGAGGGTGTCTGAGGAATTCAAACCTGTGTCTCCCACATTCTCCTCACTGTGTGCCGAGTGCCCGTGATGGGCCAGGCCCTGCCTCAGGCCCAGCAAATTGAGAGGCGAAGGAAGGAAACAGTGGAGCCAAAGCGTGCACAGGAGCCCCCCTGGGGTCTTGGCCTCACGAGGGCAGAAGTCCTATACCTGTTCAGCTGCGTCCTTAGTGCCCCGTGGCAGGGGCCTGGGAAACAAGTGTGCTAGGGACACCAGGAGGAAAGGTCCAGGGTGTCCTGGAGCACCAGACAGGCAAGATGACCAGACCAGGGCTTGGGAGAGGCTTCCACGAAAGAGCAGTTACTGAGCCAAGCCCGAAGAGTGAGGGTTGCAGGAAGAGTATGGCAGGCGGGTGGAACAGCGTGTAGGATGTCTTGAGGAGGGACTGTCTGCTGGGCTGGGTGAGGCAAAGCAGGGTTCTATGAGGTACAGGGGCTGAGGAGAGGCTCTGGGGTGGGCACCCCAAACACCAGGGTGCAGAATATGGACGCAGACACTGGGGCAATGGGGAGCCGTGGCCAAATTTTAAGGGAGGAGACAGATCTTATCAAAGTCCCAGTCACCCTATCACCCCCTGTAGTGTGCAAGAGGCTTCATCTAGACACGGGGACACAAACCCTCAGCCGAGACTTTGGGCAGAACAGGTTTTTGAAATCGAGAAGTCTGGGTTAGAGAAAGTAAGAGGTGCAGACGTATTTCATATCAAAAGGCCAGGCAGCACCCCAAATTCAATGCCTCAGCGTTCTTCAGTGAAGCCACTCATCCTTCATGCCAAGTGGGGCGAGTAAGGGCCGTGAACAGCCCCAGCCAGCTCCAGCCCCCGCTGCTGCTCGAAAAGCTCAGTGTAAACCTATGTATTACCTTCAGTTGTAGAGCCTCTGGCCACGCGCGAGAGATTAGTGGACTGGGGCGTGGCCAAGCCCAGCTGGCCACCAGTGGCTTTTGAAGTGGGAGGTACACGTGTTAGGCTGCTCAGAGGATGCTCAGTAAACGCGGCCGGATGAGTAAAGGCATATTAAGCCATACCCTGTACTCCTCCTAAAGTGGCCCACTTGGGGCGGTCAGGTAAGTAAATGAGCTATCTAATCTGGTGCTGGAGCAGGAGGCCGGGGAGAATTACACACACCCCGATGCTCAGGGCCTGGCCTAGGGGGCTGATGTCCTTTCTCTGGACTCAGGGGACCCCAGTCCTTGGGTGCTCTTGGATCCCAGGTGACCCTGAGGAGACCCCCTGATCCTTGGCCAACAACCTCTCACTCCTTGGGGGGGTACTCCATACCCAACCACTGGGGCCCCTTGAAGCCCATCATACCCCAGTTCCCACCCTCGAATGCCCATGACACTGATAACCTGCCACCTTTGACCCTCGGGCCATTCCCCAGGCTAGCGGGTCTACGGCTTCCTGCCCTGGGGTAACTCCCACGCCAGCCCCAGGTCCTTGGCCAACAACCTCTCACTCCTTGGGGGGGTACTCCATACCCAACCACTGGGGCCCCTTGAAGCCCATCATACCCCAGTTCCCACCCTCGAATGCCCATGACACTGATAACCTGCCACCTTTGACCCTCGGGCCATTCCCCAGGCTAGCGGGTCTACGGCTTCCTGCCCTGGGGTAACTCCCACGCCAGCCCCAGGCTCACATTTCTTCTCTGGGAAGCCATTGCCGGTAGCAGGGATGGTGCCAGGGCCGGGCCCGCCGGGCGGGTGGGGGTGCTGGTGCTGGCGGCGGGCGGGCAGCGGGCTGGAGGGGACGGGGCAGGGGGTGGGGGAGGGCCCGGCTCTGGGCGAGGCCGGGCGC